CAGGTCATTGATGAATAAATTGAACAGGACTGGACCAAGGACTGACCCCTGGGGGACCCCGCTAGCCACAGGCCTCCAGCTAGACTCTGCACCGCTGATCACCACTCTCTGGGCCCTGCCATCCAGGCAGTTCCTAATCCACCTCACTGTGCACTCATCTATCCAACACTTCCGGAGCTTGCCCAGGAGGATGTTGTGAGGGACGGTGTCAAAAGCCTTGGTGAAGTCGAGATAGACGACATCCACCGCTCTCCCCTCGTCTATCCAGCCGGTCATTCTATCATAGAAGGCTATCAGGTTAGTCAAGCAAGATTTTCCCTTGGTGAATCCATGCTGACTACTCTTGAGCACCTTCTTGTCCTCCATGTGCCTGGAGACAATGGCCAGTATGAGCGTTCCAAAGGCTCATAGTATACTATATTCTAATTTCTGTGGCTTTTTTCTTCCTAGTTAATAAAGCAATGTAATAAAAATAAGGGTGTATGTATATATCTATTGCACATTTGAAATGCTTAGTCTTTTGCTTGGTGACAGATATGAAAAATACTAGCAACTACAAAACAAATCCTGTGTTTTAATGACACATGCTTTAAAACAACTATGGAATATTGCTGAACTTATACAAAAATGTTCAGTTCTGTGAAAAGCGTGCGCTGCCATGGCTGTTCTTACTACAGACATGCCAGTGCTTTCAGGTTCCCTTGCGTGCCTGGCACTGTTTGTTGCCAGCAGTTTGTTCTTCGGTAAGCAATACTTGCACGTCCTGCTCTGACAGGATTTCTGTGACTTCTGAGCAGAGCTAGTAGCCTAGCTTTTTGAGGTGCTGTGCAATTCACACACTAGAAATCGCTGTGATGTTGGTAAAACAAGCCTTGAGACCACCCAGAGCGATACTGCGGTGTCCTGTTCTGCTGCTGCCTGTTGAGATCACAAATAAGCTCTGGGTCATAACAACAACCTCAGTGTTGCACGTCAACTGTGTGTTGGCATGTGAGTACCCCTGTGCCTCTGAGTGTTGCTCAGAAGAAAGTTGCTTGTAGGGTAACAAGTTTGAAGAAACAAATGTGAATCAAACCTTTTAATGGATTTTAAATTGGCCTGTTGGAAGTGCTTTGGAAGGCTAGAGCCATGTTCTATTGCTGGTTTAGCAGCAACGCAACCAATTTAAATCGTT